ACCCTAAGCCCTGAGCTCTAAACCCTAAGCCCTAAACCCTAAACCTATACCCTAAACCCCAAGCCCTGAACCCTAGACCCCAAGTCCTAAACCCCAAGCCCTAAACCCTAAACCCTACTAACTTTAGTTCTGAGGCCGCTGCTTCGGATAGAAAGCCGTGGGTGGAACAGAGTAGAGCATTCGAGGTCTGGACGTTGAGAGCCAGATTTTGGGATTTGGGGTTTTAGGGGTTAAGGGTTACGGCATTTCGGATGTAGGGTTTAGGGTTTAGGGTCCAAGGTTTGAAATTTAGGGTTTACGGGATTTCGGATTTAGGGATTAGGGTTTAGGGTTTAAGGTTTAGGATTTACGGGTATAGAGTTTTGGGTTTCTTCTTGCAGAAAGAAGCAGACGCCATAAAGCCAGCGTATATCCAGCTGGACCCTGCCGAGACTACCTTCTGAAGGTTAGGGTTTAGGGTTTAGGGTTATCATAATGGGTATATATAGGGATAATGGAAAAGAAAATGGAAACTACTATAATGCGTTTATATAGGGTTTAGGGTCTAGGGTTTAGGGTTTACCATAATGGGTATATATAGTAAATAATAGGGTTTCCCCAATATAGTAACTTAAATTAAGTTCCTTAACAGCAGCCCAGCTGAAGGTTATGCTATGCTTTTCCCCAACTAAACCCGGAAGACTGAAGCCCAACAGGCGCCCCACAAACAGTGTATATAGTTCCCAAAAAGAGTCCTATATTGGTGGGGGTTCATGTTAGTTCGGGGGAATAAATGCTATGTAAACCCTAGATAACCCCTATTAAAGAAGCAAGACCGAACCCCAAAGAGTATGCCTTCCTAAACTCTAGACCCTCAACCGCATAGGGTATGTCTTGGACCTCTTGTGGTGGATCCCCTTTCGGATTAAGAAATATGCTTACGAGTTTAGGGTGTAGGTGTGAGTAGGAGTTTGGATTTTGGATTTAAGGTGTTTGGATTTAGGGTTTATGATTTAAGGTTTAGGGCTTTGGGTAGGGCTCAGGGTTTGGGACTTGTGGTGCTAAAGGAAGTTTGGGGAAGTGAAAGTAAGTACCATACCGGTGAATCATATCAAACTTATGGTAGGGATCCACTCCCCCACCCGCCTTTAAGCACCAGTAAGGGACCTTCCTGTGGCACCTCATGTATAGTCCGTAGATAGGCCTGGGGTGCTGGGAAGTTCCCCGGATTTAGCTATCTGTGGGGTTGCTATGGGGTATATATTGGGGTTTCTATAGGGTATATTATTAGGGTTATACAGGGATAATGGAAAAGAAAATGGAAACTACTATAAAATAATAGGGTATATATTGGGGTTATAGTTCCCCTCAAGTAGATTTTATTATTGGGGTTAGATGGGGATACTGGAAAAGAACATGGAAACTACTATACTATATCTGTATACGGCACATGCGAACGTTTTGCGGCTTCTGGGGCCACAAAGTCTCCCTCAAAATTTTCTGACGCATATGGCCCCTCCAACTTCAAGAACAGCCATTACCAGTATAGGCAATCAAACCCTACATTTCCCTTTCAGGAGACTAGTAACAGTAGAGCGAGGGCTCATAAGGCTTTTAATGGCCAACCCCAAACCCTAAATTAAAGAACAGCTCTAGGGTTTCAAGCTTAGATGGCCGCGTTCAACCGCAGGGTTTTGCAGCTTGAGCGATGCTGAATGTGCATATGTCTGGGATTCCGAAATCTACGGAGTGACCCCTAGGTAGTTATATAAGTAACTAGCAGTATCATAACGAAATACCCTATAATACATGATGCAATCCTGCAGTAACACTGTAGGAGCTGCACCTATGAGCCACGTAGGTGCCTTTTCCCGAGGACTCCTCGTAGCATCGGTATGGCTTGCCATCTGCCACGCCAGCCATGCCATCACCAAAGGATGGTATGAAGTTCAACGAACTTGATGCAGACTGCGGCAACCTGCCAGGGGAACAGCTCGTCTTCTATGGCCGGGTATTTGTGCCACATGGGCTTCTCACTTCCACCGCTGCAAGGTACGGTACGGCTGCAGCAGCACCAACTACGCATGAGCAGCCCTAAATCCCCAAACCCTAGAGCGGCAAAAACAGCAGCCATAGCCACTTAAACAAGAAGTCATGTCGATCACGTTTTGGGGTTCCCATTATAAGAAGGCCCCTCATACTTACCGGACGCAATAAAAAGACGACCTATCCCTCAGGGCTGATGCAAAAACCAGAGCATCTGAAATGGCTGTCCTCGGGTTAACGGTCTAGGGTTTAGGGTCTAGGGTTTAGAAGGTGTAGGCTTTCGGATTTAGGGAGAAGGTAGGCGTAGTAGGCGAGGGGTTCTCTTGCTGAGGCTAGCCCCAAGCACCACACCCTACTTAAACCCTAAACCCTAAACCCTACTAACCCTACTAACCCTAAACCTCAAAGACATCTTGAGGCTTAAGCCGGAGACTTACTAGGGTTCGGGGTGTCGGGTTCAATGCGGACATGCTTTGGGGAAACCTTCGCCTCCAAGATTTTTACAGAAGTTCCTAGAATCTAGCCACCTATACTGGGCTAAATAGGCATGTCTGAGTTTAAAGTCTGAACATTAGCACCCTGATATGGTCAGATGCAAGTTATGGCGACCTCATTTTTTGGTTACCCTAGTAATGGCGCCTACTTTGGAGCGTTCTGGTTGCCAAATTCCCTGAACACACCCCCTAAACTGAAAGACTCCATCATCTGGCAGCCCCCAAACTAAACCCATCACACGACTATCAGGAATCCCTTGTAAATGTCAGAGCCCTGGTATCTTCATCACGAGCTTGTCCATATGCAATCTTCACCCAGGAAGAAACTCCGCTAATAAGAAACTTGCTGGAATTCACAACTTGCTCTAAGCAAGTTTCGTAAACTGATGAGTTAGTTCTGTCTGAAGGAGCAGAGACTTGCGTCTACAAGCGTTTCGGAGGAGAGTGCGGTCGCAAGCTATTGTTGTTTGAGCTTTTTGTGGGTTTCAAGAAAACAGGAAATTTGAGTACGTAATTTCAACACCCGAAATCAGGACCCTACAGCTATGATAAGACTGTGGTAGGGTCCTGTTGAGGTTCCCAAAATACCCTTGTGAAAGTTCCTACCCAACAGCCTTAGATCATGCAAAATGCAAAAGCTGGCAGCCTGGCAAAGGTTTGCAACATCACAGACAGAGGGCTGTAGTCCTGCATTTCGATGTGGAGCTTATCAAGATGGAGCTACCCTTTAGGTTCCTTGAAAGGGGACTTAGGGATGTAAAGGGTTTGGGGTTTAAATTTTGGAGCCCGCATCTAGGGGGGAACTCGGCACCCTCCAGAAACCTTGAAAGTCGTCACGACATGTATTTTGTGTTTGGGATTGAAGTCCGTACTGTAGGGTCAGGGTGAATCTCTTGGCATTGAGCTTTGAGCTTCGTGGCTTCCAGGGCTTTCTAGCTGGACTTTTGTAGTGCTCGGGGTTTGGAGTTTTACGTGTTGTGCTGTGGGTGTCTCTTTCTTTGTTTCTTTTTTTTTACTTTCAGAGCTGTAAGGCGACCCTGAGGCCCTGGAGGACCGATGTACAACCATTACTCGATTTCCCGTACCCCTAAAACCTGAACCCTGCTTTTTGGGGGCCTAGATGAAATTCCATCGCGCTTGTGGCCCACTCCCGAAATTCTAAGCCCTAGGCTGGGATTAAGGTTGAGGAATTAGGATTTAGGGAGGCGTAAAGGTGCAATTCTAACCCCACCAAATCCTGTACGGCTCACATATCGTAAAGCGTGGCAACCGAAACCCTTAACCATGAATGCAAAACCTTAAATCTGCCCGGGAACTCGGTTAAGGCTTCAGGGCATAAGGTTTTGGGGAACTCTTGCAAGAATGAATTTTATCTGTGCTTCAAGGCTAACAATAAAATCAAGAAGACCTAAACTGATTTTGACAATTCCCTAGAACCCTGAACCCCACTTGGAGGTTGAGGGAAATTATGACCTGCCTCTGGCTGTACTTATATCCAAATTAAAAGCCGCCTAAGTTCCCTAATTGGTGAACCTCCAAGTGGACCCTACATAAAGCCACAGCCCGAAACCCCTAACCATAAACCCTAAACCCCTTACCCTAAACCCTAATCCCTAAACCCTAATCCCTGAACCCTAATCCCTGAACTCTAATCCCTAAACCCTAGCCCCTAAACCCCAACCAAACACCCTAAACCCCAAACCCAAAACTCCTGAACCCTAAACAAACACCCTAAATCCCAAACCCTTTCCCTGAAACCCTAAGCCCTAAACCCAAAACTCCTGAACCCTAAACAAACACCCTAAACCCTTAACCTGAATCCCTAAACCCTAGACCCCAATCTGCCAGCATCCTTGGAGCCCGGGGGTGCCACCACCCGCTCGGCAGCCTGACGCAAAACTATTGGATTCCGGCTCTTGGTTGAGGATGGAGGGTCAAATTGGGTTTAGGGTGGTAAGGGTATAGGGTTCAGGGTTTAGGGCTAAAAAGGGTTTAGGGTTTAGGGCTTATACGGCTTTGGGCTTCGGGGTTGGGGTTTAGGTTAGGGTTTAGAGCTTGCACGGTTCGGGTCATTTCCTAAGCACGAGGAAAAGAAGTCTCGATGCTTCATGCACGTCCTTTTGCCCGGGAGCTTGTCGGCTACAAGTCCCTTTTTAGAGCTCTCTTCGCTGAAAGATGTATAATTAGGGTTTAGGGTTTTGGGTTTAGGGTTTAGGGTTTTGGGTTTAGGGTTTAATGTGTTGGATGCCAGAAAGGGGGTCTAATGCCACAATGCTCAGATCCCGCCTACTGCACATGGACGAAAAAACTGCAGTGACCGTTCCTGCCTGAATGATACAACTCTACACCCCGAAGCCCTCCTAAATCCCAGAAGCCGAAACTGGAGGTGGTACTTGCCACATTTGCACCCTTGAGGTGCTTGTGCAACAGTTGTGTCACCGATTTTGCATGAGACTTCTTCTCTGTCGACCTTCACGCGCCGCTGGCAATTGCTTCGTGCAGCTGTCAACCAAGTTCACACTAGAAGCCGAAACTGGATCCCAGACCTCAGAATCCTAAACTGGCTCAAAACCAACACCCCAGAGCTCCGAATTTCGTTAGAAATCCCCAAATCCCAAAACCCTAAACCAAAAACCCTACACTATAAACCCTAAACCCTAAACCCTAAACCCAAATCCCAAAAACCCTAAACCAAAAAAACTAAACCAACTGAGTAGAAAGTCTTTGGGCCTCCTTCTGGATCATGACGACTGCGTAGCGCAGCGCCCCGGGGCTTGCTACCTTGGAGCTTTCTAGATAGGGTTTAGGGTTTAGGGTTTAGGGATATTAGGTGGTTATCAGAATTATGGTCCCTTTCTAGGTCCCTATTATAATACGGCACCTAATATTTAGGGTACCCAAAAAGGGACCATAATTTTGACAACCATCCAGATAGGATTAAAACGTTTACGTAGGGTTTGGGGGCTTTTGGGTTGGACTTTTGGGATAGGATGCTGCAGGGTTAGGCGTATTGGAGGTTTGGACTTTAGCTTAGGATTCAGGGAGCACGGGTTAGGTTTTTAAAATTGTCGTGTAGGGAGGGATTTGCTCATGGACCTCAAGAAGCGGAATGAGGAGGTATGCCACTAGACTCGAACAGCCAGTTTTCCTCCCAAATCCAGCTGTGTAATTTATTGGCTCTCTAGCGATTACCCTATACTGCCCCCCTTGGGTTCCCCCTTTATTTGCCTTAATAAACTGATCCGGGTGAGAACCCATTGGGGGCTAATATGAGCTATAGTCCAAACTCTTAGTATCCCCCTGAATTCTAAGACTCCTCTAAATAAGCCCCTAGAAAACCACCCTTTAGGAACCCTAAACCCCATATAGTTCCCTCAAGGGGGAGTGGCTGCGTACCTGCTCCTTGTCAAGCTCGAACCCCAAACTTTCCCTCCACGGTTTAGGGCTCAGGGGTTTAGGGGCTTAGGGCTTAAGGGTTAAGGGTGTAGGGCTTAGGATTTAGGGCTTAAGGGTTTAGGGCTTAGGGGTTTAGGGCTTAGGGGTTTTAGGGCTTAAGGGCTTAGGGCCCAGGGGTTTAGGGCTTCGGGTTTGTAAGGTTAAAGGGTTCAGAACTTTGGATCTAAGACAAAGGGCAAGGCAACAAGATGCAACCCCAAAAGTCGCCCTGGTTAAATGCCGTCCTGGTAGCAGGGGCCTTTATGTTACTTGAGGATTTTGGGTGGACTAGATCCAAGACAATTCTCTGTCCGAGTGGCCCTAGGATCCTGGGGCGAATCCCCCCCCCTCATTGCCACCCGACCTCCTTGGAAAGGATCTTCCCCACTTCGTACCATAATAGAGTCAGGACCTCCCTATTCTTTGGGGGGAGTGCAGGGGCTTATTGTCTGGGACACAACTATTGCAAAAACCACCCTCAACTGGCGAGTTCTCTAGGATCTTCAATATCAGCTCTCCAGAGGGGCACCTAGGAAGAAGCCCACATGAGCTGTAGTCTAAACTCCTAGTATCCCCCTTATTAAGCCCTATAGTAGTCCCCTATATAATCCCCTATATAACCCCCCTTTAAGGAGTTTAGACCATGGCTCACATGTGATCTCTTAAAGGCCCATCGATAAGCACAATAGAGCCCGAACATGTCACCCGAAGGCTATCATTAATTGGGTAGTTGGAGTTTTGGCACAAGCAATCCTAAACCTAAACCTTAACCACTCTAGTACGGGAGTGGGATACGTATATGATTTTCGGGTACTTGGACTCTTAGGGTTAAGGCCTGCGCGGGAAAGGAACAGTATCTCACGTCCCACCACTGAGACATCTCTCCCCTTCAAGCCCTGTAACCCTTTTGCGTTTAGGGTTTAGGGTTCCCTGGAGCTTTAAACATTACCTAAACCCCAAAAGTATGTAAAATAATAGCCCTAAACCCATAATAATAGCCATTAAGGCCATCATTTTACATACTTTTGGGGTCCAGGTACTCCTTAAACCTCCAATCCTCGACCTGAAGCCCTGACGCTCTCAAAGGCTCCCCCCGAAGCCCTTCCGCCCTGGAGACTTCAGCACTGCAGTGGTAATACCAATGACTGGGTTGCTGTTAAGGAACTTAAATTAAGTTACCATAATGGGTATATATAGTAAATAATGGGGTTTGCCCAATATGGTAACTTAATTTAAGTTCCTTAACAGCAACCCAGATGATAGAAACTGGCAGTATCTTTCTTTGTAAGCCAGAAAGCCATGATTTGTGATACTGCCTTATGTATACGGATACGAGTTGTACTGCCACTGCTGCTCTAACAACAGCATGTCGTAATAGTAGCTGAAAATTCCTCTATATACCCGAATACCCTTAGAACCCTATATAAGCCCTATATACCCTTGAAATACCCGCCATGTACCCCAAATACCCCTAGAACCCTATATAACCTCTGTATACTCTTGACCTGGAGCTCCCCTTGTGGCGCCAGAAAATACCAAACCTAATAAAATGATGCATATTGGGGTTATGAATAGGGATGCTGGAAAAGAACATGGAAACTACTATAGTATAATAGGGCAACAAGGGGTACTATAGGGGCTATATTGGGCTTATAATGATGAACCCTAAACCCTAAACCCTAAGCCTAAACCCTAAACCCTTAAACCCATAAACCCTAAACCCTTAAACCCTAAATCCTAAATCCTAAACCCTAAGCCTAAACCCTAAACCCTGAAGAACTGAGGCCGGGGCTAGGGACAAGAGTGCATCTGTGGTGATGCTATATGGCAGATTGCCAATGACCTTAGGGTCTAGGGTTTAGGGGTTTAAGGGTCTAAGGGTTTAGGGGTTTAGGGTTTAAGGGTTTAAGGGTTTAGGGGTTTAGGGTTTAAGGGTTTAGGGTTTAAGGGTTTAGGGTTCGACTGGGAGATTGCCAATGACCTTACTGGTTCTTCGACTGGCGGAATGGATCCCTTATAGTAGTCTCTATATCATCCCCAATGACATAGCAAGTTCGATTTGCTTTTCCAGTCCGAGATCCGTAAACTCTACATCCTAGATAGTCGCTTCGTTTCGGCCTATTGCCGATAACCTGCCAGGTGGTTCAAGCCTAAATTTAGTGCGTCAGGGGTTTGGGGGTTAAGAGTTTAGTGGGCTCAAGGGTTTGGGGCTTTGGGGCTTTGGAAGGATGAGAGAGGTAGAGCTCAGGGTGCATCTCGAGTATCATGTAGGGGCCTGAAGAAACTGAATAGAACCTAGGGGAATGTTCTACTCCAGTTCTACAAGCACTATAAAGGAATAGAATTTATAGTTGGTCAAGCTTCTACAGTAAGACCCTGAATCCTGAACCCCGGAACACCAAAACTCCAAACACCAACTCTGAAACCCCAAGACACCTGACTTATCTAAAGCTTCGAAGCCAGACCGTGTCATATGCCATCTTGCAGACTGCAGGTGGGCTTGGTGTTGGAGTATCATGTCTAGCACTCGGATGCAGACTACCATGCAGACTTAGGCTTTAGGGCTGTAGGCTTTCGAGTTCCGGGTTAGGGGCCTAAATGACTAGAATAACGGAGAAGCCAATGGAACATGGAAAACGGAATAGAAACGTGGATAATGTTGAGGCTTATCATAAGGCTTGTACTTGTAAAGTAGACGCCCAGATATTTCAACACGGGGATTGGGTTACACAGCAGTATGGCTCTATAAAGATTACCTGCAGAGAATGTTGGAAGTTCTTTTTGGACTATCGATACATGTGCACCCTAAACTTTAAACCCTTAACCGCCTATACGTTGGATTGACCTGGCTGGTGGCCTTTTCAGTATGCGCATATGTAGGGCTTTAGGGTTAACATACCATATGGGTGGATGATAGGTATTGGGGTTCCTTATGTGAGTAACCGAACTTAAGTTTCTTAAAAGCCTGGCTTATAGCTTGGGTACTGCCCCCACCCAGTAACAGTCTGTAATCGGGATACGACTAAGGCAATATATACGTGACGTATAAATGGAACTCAACTGTTACTGAGTGGCGGCAGTACCCAAGACATAACCCCTAAATCATGTAAGAAAGATACCTATAGCCCCATAAGGAAAAAGACCTCAATCAAAGAGACCACCAGCGGACTTGATGCTAAGCCCTTAACCATAAACCTCCCTAAACTCCCAAAAGGCCCTAAACCCTAAAAACCGCTAAGCCTTACCGTGGGTTTCGTAGTTCAGGCAGTGCTAGAGTTTCCTCTTCTTAGCTTCGAAGTAGGAGACCCTAAACCCTAAACCTCAAACCCTAAACCCTAAACCATAGCATGGGCTCTGGACCTTGAAACTTTTGCATGCATATATATATATATGTGTGTGTGTGTATTTATATATATATATGTATATATGTATATATATATATGTATATATGTGTATAGATATTTGCTTTGGGCAGTTTTCTTAAATAGGGGGACCTGACATAGACGCGAGAAGACTAGAATCCTTACAATGGGACCTCCAAATAGGTATCCCTAATTTGGGGAAACCCTATACTTATGTATACATATATATATATATTGAGCATATATATATATACACAGATACACTTAATCTACCACTTGCAGTTCAGGGAGAGGTTTTGGCTGCCCCCTCAACCCTGAACCCCAGATTCTAAATCCTGTGCCCAACACTTCTTTAGGCTTCAGGGTTTAGGGCTTGCCGCAAATCTTTTAACCCAAAATCCGAAACCCAATCCTTAATCCTGATTACTAAATCTGAGACCCCAAACCCTAGACTTCCCATCCCCTCCCCCTAATAAAGAATCCCGCCCCCTAATGATAGAGGCCCTCCATTATGATGCAATTATACAAGAGGGGAATACTTCTATTGGTACTTCCCCACTGACCCCATAGAGCACCAGTTTCCATCTTGTTTTCCATGGTTCTCCACAAATTTCTAAACCCCAAACCTGATATTATAAACCCTAAACCTTCTTTGTCCTGATCCCTAATCCTTAGAACCTAAACCCTCACCCCCTAACCCCAAACTGGCCCTAAACAGGGTTGCGTTTAAGGAACTTGAACTAAGTTACTAGAATACAGAGACCTAGTATCTACTATATACCTATATCATGGTAACTTACTTTAAGTTCCTTAACAACCTTGCATAACCTACGAAGGCTTTCCAGCTAGACCCTGCCAGGGAACGCAGAGACGACCACCCATTCTTTGGGCAAGGTCTGCGTGGTCGAGCTTTAGCAGATCCTCCTTTCTCGGTTGCTGTTAAGGAGCTTGAATTATGTTTCAGGGTTTACGGTTTAGGGATTAGGGTTGCGGTTAAGAAATTTGAACGAAGTTACCATAATATGGGGATGTAATTTAGGGTTTGCTTGTGGTAGTAGCTTGATTTATTTAAACTCCTCAACAGCAACCCAGGTACGCGATTTAGGGTACAGAGTAGCAAGTAGAAAGGAACTTAAGCGTTTGGGTCCTACGTGGTTTAGGGTTTCGTGGTAATGGTTAGGACCAACTACAGAAGGGAACTTTCCAGTGGTTGAAATTCAGGCTATGGGTGGAGTGTGCATATGAATGTAAGAGATGTATAAGGCTTATGTCTTATGTAAGCTCCCTATACCCTAATCCCCAAACCCTGAACATCCCAAACCCCAAACCCTAAACCCTAGACCCTCAGCCCTAAACCCTAACCCAGACCCCTGATTAACAGAGCCCCTACCCTTGATAGGGATTATAGTAGGGATCCTAATATTAAGGCCCTTAAAAAGGAGGGGGTATATTATTCATCACGGGTCTACATTAAGCCCTAAACCCCAAACCCTAAACTGTATAGCAACTCCCCTCCTGTCATTACGCTAGGACTAGGAAGCGGTAGCGCTTGTGGTAGCAGCAAGGGTGATGTGGTGTGCAGTCATGGCTTCAAGGGTTTAGGGTTTAGGGGAACAGGAAGATGGTTTTGGCAATCAGTAAAAGCAGAAGATGCTGAGTTCGAACAGCGACAACTAATGCAGAAATCAGAAACTGAATGAAAACCAAGACAGGACAACAAGCTTATTACTCGAGACTGAGAACAAAGATACTCCAAATGCCACAAAACCCCAAAACACCGGAACCCTATAAACCCCGAAGCGCTATAAGGCCTGAAGCCTCAGCCCAGAAACCCCCACGGCTCAGACCTGTAAAGCCTTGAAATGCAAGCCCTAAACTTCTTGTGCCTGCAAATAAACACCTGTAAGGAGCCTGGGTCATGAAACAAAAAGCCCTTGCAATGGCTCGTATGGGACTTGGCCCCCCAAGATGAGGAAATGTACATACGGACCCGTAGTCGACTAGGAGCCCAAACAAAAGGGATCGGTATTACAATGGATTTACACAAATACCCATATTCCTGAAATAAAGTAAAAACTGGCGGCAGGAAACACCCATGAACTATGATCTAAACCCTGTAGCATCCCCCTTAATAAGCCCTATCATAGGAACCCTATATAGCCCCCCTTTATATAACCCCGTTTCAGGAATTTAGACCATAAACCCTAACACGGCCCTAAACGCTATATAACCATATATAATGTCCCCTATACTAGTCCCCTATATAACACCCTTTCAGGAGTTTAGACTGCAGGTCCATAATATCAAGGCCCAGTTGGGTTTTTGGTGCCCTCGAGTGGCGATGGGACCTAAGCCCCAAACCCTAAGGGGCAAAAGCCCTAAAGCCCAAAACCCAAAACCCTAAAGCCCACAACCTTAAGCCCTAAACCCTAGACCCAAAATCCCAAGCCCTAAACCCTACAGCCTAAATCCTATATCCTCTTCTCAGCGTGGCTCCTGCCAAACTTCCAGGGAGGGAAGGTCTTGACGAAGCGCCTGTATGGCTCGGGGGTCCTCGTTGTGGCTCCACAAACTTTCCGAAGGTCAGGGCTTGAGTTTGAAAGGATTTAGGGTTTAGGATTNNTTTAGGGTTTAGGCTTCTGAAAGGAGATCTACAGTGCCACCCTGGATGAAAATTATAAACAATGCTGCACCAACTGGCACCAACGAACTTTGGGCTTTGCTTGTTTTGCCTCTGGGGAATTGACAGTTTCCATGAAGAGGGAGACCCCACTATAGATCCAAACCAAAATGCTATAGTCCCTAAGCCCTAAACCCTAAACCGCTCCTCATTGCAGGGGTGCCAAATCCTCAGGGTTTGGCCCGAAACATTTTTCCCCAGTGCGGATGTGGATTTCAGGTTTAGGTTTCGCTCAGGGCCCCAGCCACTGCTGTAATACTGGAATAAAAAATGCATAAGGACCCGAATATTACTACCGTGAGCCCTGGGGGTCACTCTTGGTGGGTGGAGGCCCAACCCAACTTACGTGAAAACAAAAAGCGGCCCTTCGCAGCCTACTTCCCTTCAATATGCGGTTTCCTTTGGATGTTTTTAGACGAAAGGGTAGCGCATCGGGCCGCAGCAGAGGATTAGCTGCAAGCCTGCATCGTCCAGTTTCTGCGCCAAACCTGGAGGCCTTAGCCCTTTAGGGGATGCATAATTTAGGGTTTACTGTTTAAGGTTTAGAAACCTGAGTCAAAAAGAAGCAGTTCTTGTCGCACGCATCTTTGCTACGCGACGCTAAACCCCAAACCCTTTACCCTAAGCCCTAAACCCCAAACCGTGAACCCGAGACCCTAAATCCTAAACCCTAAACCCCAACGCGAACCCCAAACCCTACGCCCCAAACCCTAATACTGTAAGCCCTAAGCCCAGTGTCCACGTCCACAGCCAGCATCTGCGGAAATTGCGCAGCCAGACTTCGTGTCAGCGCGCCGAGACCAGGTCCAAGCTCTACCTTGGGGTTTCGGGTTCCTTCAGCTTAGGGTGTGGGGCTTGGGGATTAGGGTTCGGGGTTCGGAGTTTGGGGTTTAGGCTCTAGGGTTTGGGGTTTAGGGTTTAGGGCATGGGGTTTAGGGTTTTGTAGGCGAAGGGTTACAGGATTATAGGGATGTGTAGAGTTTAGGGTTTAGGCATTAGGGTTCCTTGAAAAGCTTTAGAGGGTTATAGGAATCCATAGAGTTTAAGGTTTAGGGATTAGGGTTCCGTTCAACGGGCTATAAGGATACGCACACGTACACATATACATACACAGTTTTTAGGGTTCAGAGTCCCTTTAAAGAAGTTCGAAGGACATATGAGGTCGGATATAAGGGTTCAAGCTCTAACTTGCGGGGCTCGTTGGCAGCAAAGGTCCAGTGCACAATCTCAAGGGCTTAGGTGTGCCAGAAATGCAAGCCAAGGGCACAATTAGAGCAACTGGTAACAGTACTGGAGGCAACATCACCATGGGTGCTGGTGATACATTCGCTTGGGTGGATGCTGCTGGTTCAGCACATGCGTTTCGCATGTCCGAGAAGTTGACGACTAGAGTGCATAATAACTGCAGCAAGAATCGGAGTGCGCGCGCCCTCCCCTCAATGGCAGCTTGGCAGGAAAGGCTCTCGAACGCAGAGCCTATCGCACGGACGGATAGTCGCTCATCACGGTACTCGGAAATGTTAATTCCGTCGGAAAGGAAAAATGTTCTTCGTAGAGTTTGACTCAAGAGTTTGCCGAAGCTGCGCCATCTCCCCTTTTGGAGCCTTAGGCAGTTGAGTGATAATCACAGCACTTGTGTCCAAGTGGAACAGCGCATCGCCAAACCACGCACTGCGGCCCACAAAAGGGTCGATGTCCCCTTTAGCGGCACGCCGCACATCAGTTCAAGGTTTGGGTTTTAGGGTCTTCATTTTGTGGTGTAAGGTTTGGGATTGGGGGTTTGGGCGTAGGAATTCAGGTGTAGGGTTCGAGGCTAAACTCTAAATCCTTTGCCGCAAGCTTAGGATTTGGGATGCTGACTGTGAGGACTGTATATGGCATAGCGGGAATAGCATTTTCGAGAACCTAAACCCTATACCTCCACCAAGAAACTAGGACTTCAGGATAGTGGTCCTCTAAGGGCTTACCGTTTTGTATAATCAATAGTGGAAATCAAGTTCCCCAAAACGAGCCAGAATTATGAGAGCGACCCCAACTCCAATCTCTGAAGAGCATCTACCATGACCGGCTGGTATCAATTCCATAGCCCTGACAAAGTTCGTTATTAGATCATAAAAGGCCCCAACTTATCATCATGATTCATCTGGGGACCCCAAAAAAGCTACCAACTAATTTTGGAAATCGCCCATATCTGACAGGCATGACTTCAGGAATCTGGATATTCAGGTATCCCCTTTGAACAGTTCAGGCTTTTCTGACTGCTGAGCCTCAAGGTTCAGGGGTTAAGGTTGTGTCAATCCCCCACCCAATAATCTCACAAGGCACGGTTGCAGGTACATTCAGGCCCTATTAACTCCATATTAAAGAGATATTCCTACAGGAGGATTGACCTAACCTGAACCCCAAACCCTAAACCCTAAACCCTCAACTCCGTACACATAAACCCTAAGCCCGAAACCCTAATCAGGTTAAGGGTTAGGGGTGCCTCCACTGTCTGACATGCCCAGCTAGCAGCTTAACCCCAAGCCCTAAACCCTCTAGTCCCCCTTTTAAGTAGATCGAATATAGGGTTTAGGGTTAGGGTTTAGGGTTAGGGTATAGTCCCCCTTAAGAAGATAAAATGTGGAGTATATGGGGATCTTATTATAATAGACCCAGAGCCATATTCTATCTACTTTTAAGGGGGACGATAACCCCAATATATATATATATACCCTATAATAATTGAGTAGTCTCCATTTTCTTTTCCAGTATCCCGATATAACCCCAATAACATACCCCAGATTCTATCTACTTGAGGGGGACGCTGATCCTTTGAGTTTTGACCAGCCTGAAAAGTGTTCAACACTGCCTATAAGCAAAGCTGGAAGTAGGCGGAAAGATGATTGGGGTTTAGGGGTTCGTGTCTAGGAGTTGTAAGAATACCCGCATTTCCAGGTAGCGCTCTGCTGCTTCGCACCTTTACTTAGATTTCATAAGCCTCGAGCTTACAAACCTAAACCCTACACCCTATTACCACTAAAGTTACGTAAAACCAATAGCACAAACTCATGGGATTCGTCTCCAACACCCATCATAGGGGAGCTTGGGGAAGCCCTTTAGAAACCTCAAACCCTAAGCAGGAGAGGATATGAAATCATGAAGAAAACCACAACCACCACACCCCAAACCTCCGACTTAGAAGCCTGAACTCCCCAAGCTGTAACAGCCCGCCAAACCCCATGAACTAATCTTAACCCTAAAT